GATCCAAGAATCCTCTCTTGGGGTCTGGATCAGGATCCCCTTCCAGTAACAGTGTGAATCAATATTCCTATGTAAAATGAATTGCTAGGATTTCAAAGCTGTAGAGCAGAGACTAGGGTGGAAATCCTAACAAAATCATGTCCTTCCCAAGACGTTAACAGGTTTTCTAGCAATGAGACATTCAGTGAAGAAAACACTTGCAAATATAATTAAAATAATTCAATAGTTTCCACCTAATATTTTCTTACATAAAAGAAAGTTTTTTGAAAGTGCTAAAACCTTTTCATTTTTGCAGGTTTTTTCATATTTAAAAATAATAAAACATACCTACATGTTATAATGATAAAGAGAGTCACTGCTTTTTGAGGGCAGGGCTCCCATTTCGTGCAGTCCTAGATGCCATCTCTTATGATAAATCCTGTACCAAAAGACAGATTAGTCACACCATCTGCTGCCTCCAGGGAGATAAATTGCACATTTCAAAGTATGGCAACATTCCATTATAGCATAATGAAGAAAATGAAAAACATATTAGCAAACTGAACACTTTGGGGAAATTTCATTTTCAAATTGTGTGCTGTTTTGCTTTTAAAGAAGTAAAATTATTAAATAAAATGTGTGAGAGGAAGCAAATATTCATCCTTGTAGCAAAATTACGGATGCTTTTACTTTGTGAAAAATAATATTATTTCCAACGAAGGCATTAAAATCACACATATAATCCACATTTTCAGAGTTGTTATGAACAAGCATCTCTATGTACATACTCTTGCTGAAATCAAATTTTAGTCCTAAAATCATTGTTAGATTACGGGCTAAAAGAGGAACATGAACAATTAATTGTTCTTGTTTCTTCCTCAGAAACCCTTGGGGTCTATAAATTTAATTTGAGGCCATCTCAGACCTGCCAGTTCAGAGCAACAAACATAAACATACGGACTTGGAAGCATCACTTCCATTTCTCAGGCAGTCCTACTGCTTTCAGGCAATTCTTGCTGTTCAGAGACAAACTTATACACACTGAAGAACAGAGTGTGCAGAACAGGCTGCAAGAACACTGACATTAAGAGCAAGACAAATCAGATGCACCTCTCTTACTTGACCAAGGCCAGTATTAAGCTAGCACATCTTGTCTAAAGAGCCATCAATCACGCACCAAGAGTGCCCTCATGAAGGTACATCCTATCCAAGCTGTATAAATATAAGGCAAATAAAATTTTAGTGACAGTCTACAAGGCCATTTGATCTATGAACTACATAGGTACTGCAATTGCTTACATATACTTGAAAACCTCCAAGGTTAGATGAGGCCAAGGATTGGAAGGAAAGAATCTGTAACTCTTTCAATATTCTCCAGGGATAGACCTAAACAGAACAGGTGCCCCTTCTACTCCTACCACCCCTTACTCAGTTTGGCATCTGACTTTGTCCTAAGTAGGCTAACATTCATTCACTGTGCCTTTATGTTGCAAATTGAACTGATTTAAAAACGAAAAATGTAGTGAAGAAACCATCACTCTAGCCAATAACATGGATGCAACATACTTTATCTCATGTGGTGTTACTACTTAGTTGAACCCTTTGTCTAGACTACCTCTCACCTTGGCTACCTGGCTAACTCATAGCTCCGATATCCCCATCTCCAGATGTATGTCCTGACTCCCTCTGCATTCAGTTTATCTTCCCCTCCTCTGTGATCTTCTACTGTACTTATATGGTTACTTGCATGAACCTCTATTATAGCTATCCTCACTGATTTTTTAGTCTTTCTCCTCCTCCACTAGATTCTGAATTCCTTGACAGCAGGGGCTGTGTCTGGCTGATTTCTTTATTTGCTATGTCTAGTGAATGTTTGATGGATATAAGAATGAACAAACAGTCACAGATTTATCTATTTACTCAAAGTCTTGCTGGACTGAATAATGGGCTGGAAGTATTCTTATAATCAACGCAGTGTATTTTGTGGGTTATATAATACTTTTGTCTGCTAGCAAATATATTCTCCGTATAATAAAGTAACAAGAGTCTGGATTGTTCTTTATACAAAGCTATCTATTTCCTAACTATCTTTGAGCCATTTACAGCTCTGACTAGCTGAAATGAACCTGTAGGTGTTCATCACTGATTCTGGGCTGAACCAGATGAATACATACAGCAAAGACATCATGCTGATGGGAAGAGCCTTCTGGGCAAGTTAGACAGGTAAACAACAAAGCCTTAATCAGGTAACTGACTTCTTTCCAAATCTGGCCAGCCCAGACCAGTTTTCTTTTTTTTTTTTTAAACTTAGGACTCTGATTAGTATTAGATTTGATTCATTAATCTGGAATAATCAATTATTTGAAAATAAGAGATCCACAAGCCTCTAGGTCAATAGCTAAATCTCATATCTCTTTGTGGGTTTAGAAAACTTTAATTGAATGGAAAACTGGAATATTCTATTTTTCTCTGTTATGTTTCTAAATCACAGTATTTATCCTGTCTTTTTCTTTTAAAACTCTGGAATGAGGACAATGTTAAGGTTTAAATGAGAAATAAAGAACAGGACTGATTTGTTACCTTGGGTGGGTGGGATTATAAGATGAGGCAGAGCAAGAGGTTAGCAACTTTTACTTTATACAACATCCACATTGCTTAACTTCTAATGAGCATGTATGTGATTTAACATTGTTTTTTAAAGTTTTTAATAAATGGGGCCAGGTGTGGTAGTTTACACCTGTAATCCCAGTGCTTAGGGAGGCTGAGGCAGGAGGATCACTTGAGGCCAGATGTAAGATCCCATCTCTACAAAAAAAACATTTTTTAAAAACTAACCAGGCATAGTGGCTCCTGCCTGTAGTCCCAGCTACTCAGGAGGCTGAGGTGGAGGATCACTTGAGCCCAGGAATTCGAGGCTGCAGTGAGCTGTGATCAAGCTACTGCTCTCCAGCAGGGTGACAGAGCGAGATTTATCTCTTAAAAAAAATTTAATAAATGAATTAACAGGGCCTCTTTCTCTTGGTGATTCTTTCCTTACATCAGAAAGTTCTAAAAGCAAAAGAAAGTCACTTCAAAAAAATAAATTTAGACTGAGAGCCAAAAGCATGAACAGAACAGACCCATGCTTTCACCACTGTGCTTTACAGTACAAGTGACAAGCAGGGAAAGCCTAAGATCCTTGCTCTCCGGGGACTATTACTCTATTTAGGGAGACAGATACCAAAAAGCATTAGTGAACCTCACGAGGTAGCGCATGCTGGACATCAACATATATAATGTAGTGTATAAATGCCCCGAGAATTGGGAAAACAGAAGGTTTTTGAGAGCTACAGAACTGGAAAGGGGCTTGCGATGGAGGGCCTGAGTGGGTCTTGGACGGGCAGAGTGGGGAATGATGACAGTCAGTGCAAGCAGAGGAGATGAAACTAGGCAAGGCTGTAGAAGTCATTAACACGGAGCTCTCATTTGTGGATATCAGGAAATGCTTCTTTTTTTTTTTTTTTTTTTTTTTTTTTTTAAGACAGAGTCTTGCTCTGTTGCCCAGGTTGGAGTGCAGTGGTGCGATTTCGGCTCACTGCAAGCTCCGCCTCCCGAGTTCATGCCATTCTTATGCCTCAACCTCCTGAGTAGCTGGTACTATAGGCACCCACCACCATGCCCGGCTAATTTTTGTATTTTTAGTAGAAACGGAGTTTCACCGTGTTGGCCAGGATGGTTTTGATCTCCTGACCTCGTGATTTGCCTGCCTCGGCCTCCCAAAGTGCTGGGATTAATGGTCATTCTCCAGCTCTGGTTGTGTCAGTTTTCTCATCTGTCACCTCTATTCTATCTCTCATCTCCCAATATATAGGAGTTAAGAAGAAATTATTTAGTCAGATAGTGAAGGTAATGAAGTCCTCGGTAAAATTTTCCTTTTAATGAAAAGCAGCCCCCAAATAATTTTCTTTTCTAACAAACAGCAGCGTGTAAAATCGAGCTGCAGCCATAGAAAGGCAAAGGAGACGCTTGCACGGGTGCATGCTGGGAGTTGTGCCAATAAGAAAGGGGCTACCTGGGGACTAGGCATGTTCAAAATGGCGGTTCCATCTTCCCATCTCTTAGCCAAGCTACCTGTACAGTAAAGAGAAGACAACATGGCACAGCCAGGCACAGATGCCATTTGCATAATAAGATTAGGGTGGGTGGCTAGGTAAACGTCACACCTGCTCCTACCAGTCTGTGGGCCCTATGTAAATCCGGCCCTCAAGCCTGTCTATAAATCCGGTGCACTCCACCATGGGCCAGAAGTCCCATTTGGGTGCCCCTCTCTCTCCCCCAAGAGAAAGAGCTATTCTCCTTTCTCTTTCTTTTGCCTATTAAACCTCCGCCCCTGAACCCACTTCTTGTGTTTGCGTCCTCAATTCCCTTGGCGTGAGATGGCAAACCCCAGGATTTACCCCAGACAACAATGCCACTTTACGAGAACCTTAATCCTGGCCATGAAATGACAAATAAAATGATAAATAATACGTGTCTCTGAGGGCAGATGCCCGCATCAAATTTATTTCTTGATGCTGGTGATTCCATGTCTAGGCTCTGATTTCTATGTAAATCAAAATCCACAGCTGGACACAGCACCCGTTGCACAGTAGATTATTGAAAGAATGCCAAGTATTAGCCCTTTGTGGCCACAACTTCCTGAAACTGCACAAAACCATAACTGAGAAAATTATTACAGTGAAAGAGATTTGACTTAACTAACACCATTTTGCTTCTAACCTTCAAGCTGTCCTTGTTCATTCCTAGATGTAGGCTGAACTAACTTTGGAAGGAACTTAGTTTATAGTTTAGCTTTGAAACAAAGATGATAATAGACCTTTCCCAAAACAAACCTCCTTCCTGCCTGGGGATTAGACTGCCTTTGCAGGACTAACAAATTAGCTAGAAGATTAGAAATTTTGTTTTAGGAGTCATGCAGCTGGAGACTGCAAGTTTCTAAACCTCCCCAAATTGCTCCTGGGGATAAAATCACTATTATAAAACCTAAGGTCAGTGCTTGAGATATTTTGCAGACTCCACGTTCAATAAATCAGCTGGCACCACCCAGATTGATAAACTGGCTCATATGTCTTGTAGCCCCCACCCAGCAACTGTCTTAGCACAAAAGGACAGCTTCAACTCCCCATGATTTCATCTCTGACCTGACCAATTAGCACTCCCAACTCACTGGCCCTCTACCTACCAAATTATCCTTAAAAATTCCAACCACCAAATTCTTGGGGAGACGGATTTGAGTAATAATAAAACTCTAGTCTCCCACACAGCTGGCTCTGCGTGAATTACTCTTTCTCTATTGCAATTCCCCTGTCTTGATAAATCAGCTCTATCTAGGCAGTGGGTAAAGTGAACTCATTGAGGGGTTACATTCCCTGCCTTTGGCTCATGAATATAGCCAGCATCAGCTTCCTGACTCACCTCTGCCTTGAACCCAGACATACATAACATAGTTAGCACCTAAAAAAGACTGCTCTGGGTAGCCCCTCCTCTCATTTCTGCTGCTTCTCCTTGGTACTCCTCACCCACGTCCTCATTTTGCAATTACTAGAGAGGGTTTATAAAGAAGAATTTAATTGTAAAATACATAATTATAATTTCAAAATTAAAACAATGCAACCTGAATATCTGATGTACAACTATCAACAGTTACTGCAACATTTTTCTAGGCTGGCTCAAACTCAACTCTAAATCTTGACACAATAGAAAAGAATTTGTTACATAAAATCTTTAGCAGATAACTTGGCTAGTAAAAAATGTATAACAACAGGAGATTATATTTTCCTACACAGAGTTAAGAGTAATGACTGAGAATGCTCTAGAAATGGAATTTTTGAGGTGGTACCACCTCTGTTTATATACAGTACAGGAGCAAAAGTGTCTTTTGATATCCAGAACAGAATTCCATTTTGAAAATCCACCTTTATCTTTTCACTCCATATCTTGCTTCTTGTATCTTCATGTTTTTTTCAAATTTGACCCCTCTTTCCCCGTGATTATCTTGCTAAATAGAACATCTTCTAATTAAATAGACTTGGATGTTTTTTAGACTTTAATATATCATCTCTTCTTTAAAAGGCTTTTTTTTCTCAGTAAATCTCAGATCAAAACAGAAATTCTTTAAATAAGCTTCAAAGTCAGGCTGTAATATTTCCATCCCATGTATTCCACTATGTGAGCTAGAGAAGTAGGCAGAAGCCAGACCAGGTACCAGGATATGTTTTTCTAAGGAGTTTGGACTTAGTACTGGCAATAAAGAATCATTGAAGAGTTTATGGCGTGGGATTAACACTAGCAGTTTTACATCCTAGAAAAATCACTTTAGCAGTAGTGAGGGGAGCGGAAAGAGTCAGGCAGGAGGGAGGGAGATAATGAAGGCGATATTGTAGTAGACAGGTCACAGAGGATAAGACACTGAACCAAGGTAAAAGACAGGAGATAGTAAGTAGGAGACAAATATAAAACTTGTTAAATTCATAGAACAAACAATATTCATCTCCTAATGACATGGAGTTGGTGATGGTGTGAGTGGGAAGATAGAAGGAGAAAATTAAGGAAAACGAAGAAGCCTAGGATACATTTCAAGTATTTTACTTAGTTTTAGATATGTTAAGGGGGCTACAGACATCTGAAGTACATCCAAGGCATCGAATAGTAATTTAGATTTACTGATACAGCACATACAAGAGCTGTCTGGTTTGAAGACACCAATGTGGAAGTCATCAACATAATGGTATAGCCATAGTAATGGATGAATTCACACCCCCTCACCCCATCCCCCACCAAAAAAAAAAAAAAAAAAAAAAAGGAATGTAAGATGTAAAGATGGTCAAAGATAAAACTCTGGAACATACCCACACTTAAAGGGCAAGGCCAGAAAAAGAAACATTCAACCAAAACCAAGAAGGAATAATCAGAGAAGTAGGCCAAGACACGGGAGAAAGTGGTGTTAGAGAAGCCAAGAGAAGAGAAAATGACCAAATCCACTGGAGTTAGCAATTGGGAGTGTATGGAGGACCCTGCCCATGTTGCTAGCTTAGCATGCTGAGGGTAGAAGTCCAATTGCAGTGCACTGAGTGAGTGGTAGGTATAAAAGTAGACAATGAATGAAAACTGTTTTGGAAGGGAAACATAGTAGTAATAGAGGAACATTTTTAAATATAGGACATGTTTGGGGGAAGGAGCCACAAGACAAGATAGAAAGAATATTTAAAAGGCCATGAGTAGGAGGTAAATGCAATTAAGAGGTCAGGTAAAAAGATTTACTCCAATTGGGAAAATAGACATATTGATCAGAGAGTAATCAAAGGATGTAGAGGTGAGTGGGGAGAATAATTATTAAGAACAGAAATGAGAAGTTAAAGTGCATTCATGATAGTGTGGATTTTCTTAGAGAAGCACAGGAACAAGGCTATCTGCTAACAAACACATGGGGCAAGGATCAGGGGCTTGACCCAAGTGGGGAAGGATGAAAAAAGGAGTTACCCAAGATTTGGCAAAGAGTGGAATTGCCAAAAGGTATAAAAGGAGAGGTGGGTGATATTCTCTAAAAGTGTACCAGAGTCTGGATAGAGCCCAAGAAAGTGAGGGTATAAGGAGGACCACGCCACTGCAAGAGAGCTAGGAAAAGGAGGGTGCTGGTACAATGTGACAGGAGATGCAGCAAGTGGCCTGGAGAGAAAGGCAGTCTCAAAGGAAGAGAAAGACTCAGAGAAAAGGATGGGACAAGACATGGAAGTCTTGAGGAGAGAGCAGGAGGGACTGGAGAATGTGGACAAAGACACTACATATCTTTGTAGCCTTTTTCATAGCCTATGCCTACTTTCCCTCACACTTCCTTGATCTCTTTGCATAAAATCCCTATTTGTCTAGTTGCCTGAGGGTTACCTTATTTCTCTAAGAATGAATACCTTATCTAGATGACTTCTCTGTCATGTTCAGGTAGCTCCATAGATTGCTCTACGTCTGAAGCTTCTCTACTAAGTCTTCTCTGACTACCCTTTCTAAAATATATCCCCTTTCAAAACCTTATCCCCTCTCTATACTCTAATTTTGGTTTGTTTCTTTATAGGATTTAACTCTACCTCTAATCCCTTTGCATTTACTTTTTTATCTGCTCCATACCCTAAGGGTAAGGTCATCGAAGGTTATATAGAGGTGGTGTATGGGCACATGCAGGAACCGGAGCCAGAGAGCCTGGGCTTATATCCTGAATATGCTTTTATTAACAGGCAATGCTGGTGGCAGTATATTTAGCCTTAGTTTTCTCATTTGTAAAATTGGGATTAAAATAGTAAATCACCTCAGAGTCAGTGTGAACATTAAGTAGAATAATGTATTTAAAGCATTTAGGGAAGTGCCTTGTACACAATAAGTGCTCAATATAAGTAAGATATCATATAAGATAACAATAGGTAGAAATAGTCCTTAAAAAAGTCTATGGCCATTTCAAAACTGACATGAAATTTCTGATAGTCTAAGTGGTTGCCTAGCTGCAGTTTTATTCTCACAACTAGACAAAATAAAGGAGGATCTAAAAATAATGGCATGGTTATTTAGTACATAAATTTCTTAGATGACAAACCATTGGCAATATGGTATTTATCTGAGCGTTTCTGCCAGTACCTAAACTCTTTTACTCCACTGACAGTTTCTCAGTCATACTGGTTATAGTAAGGTTATTTGGCTATAAGAGATATTATGGCAGATGTTTATGGTCTCAAAGGGAGTGAGATCTGTATGAGCATTTAATTCCACAGCAAGATCCCAAATTAGTTTCATTATTCTAGAGAGTATAACAGGGTGAAAATTGGCCCACAAGCCTCAATGGGAGAATGAAATTATGAGCTAGCTATTAGATAACCTCTAATGATGTTTTGGTATACAGTTAAAAGAGAGGATGCTCTAAATAATTCATAGTGGAGAGTAAAATACAATTGTATGAGCCATAGAATTATATTTTTCACAAGACGTAAGAGAATTTTGATACAGCAAATTTAAATACTTTCTTAAAAATAAATGTCATAAGTTTGAAGCAGGTACATTTCTTCACATTCCCAAATGACACACTGTAAAGATGACTTTACTTAAGGGGAAAAGAGTGATTTGGGGAAAATTCCTTGCCTTTGCCCTTCCTCCCACCCCAACTAGCCATGCCCCTTCCTTGCCTTAGCATTTTACTGCCTCTTTGCTGACCACACCAGCACTCTGTCCTAGATTCACTCTCTCTGGGTTCTCTGATCTACACCTATGTTGCCAGTATTCCTTTTTTCTTTAACAAAATTGATCAGGTCTTTGGGCTTATTTAGCCAGATGCTGAAAGGAGATAAAAACCAATGCACCTCAAAAGTGAAAAGAACTGATGAGCTAAAAAGAGTTAGCTAGGTTTTATGCTTCTCTTGTGTCATGTTGTTTTGGCTGCCCCCGCAGGAGAAACAGGTCTCATAATATGATGTTAATGGAATAAACCTCCATGACTGAATTAAGGTAGCCCAAGGATGTAAGCTCTATGAGAGTGGAGGGTCAGGTTAGATTTCTTGAGTCATCTGTGCCTGCCATGGTGCCTGGACCACTGGAGGCGTGCAATAAATCATACCAAAAGAAGACCACAACCTTAGACAAGGCAGAATTAATGTGAAACTGAGTAACTAAGATAGCCCTGGAAAGCTCGAGCTAACTGAGGACATGTGAACTTTTCTGATGGCCCTAGAATCACAGACAACTACCTATGAATACTGAATTCAAGATTTTAAACAGAATTCTAAGTCGCTGCTTCGCTTTCAAAAACCGGCATTATACCTGAGACTATAAGTTGTTGCCTAAATGTCATTAGGTGACATTTAAGTGCCTTGAATGTCTCATGATGAAAATAACTCTTTGAGGTTAGCAAACGATAACTGGAGGTTAGAGAATAACTGGCCCATAGTAGATACATAGTAAATACGTGGCAAAAGAAAGAAAGAATGAATAAAAGGTATTACCAGACCTTGCTTAGTTAAAAGGAGGATGAGTTTTAAGGGCCATCTGTGAAGAGCAATTGTGGGTGGTAGACAGCCAACGGGCAGGTTGAGGACAGGAGGTGGAGAGAGAGAAAGACTGGACCTCGGGGTACACCAGGAGTCAGCCAGTCGAATATTCTGGGAGCAGCCCTCTCTAAATTTAATGACTGGCTCTTTTGGGGTATTTTAACCTTATTAGGATGACACATAAAGCTGTTTAATTTTGTGTTTTTTTTTAAAATGAGATTTCCCTTTTAAAATAATGTTTACAGGAAGGTGGATAAAGGGAGTCATTGAACCTAAACAAAATGACTAAGACAAGAAACTTCACTTTCTGGAAAATTTTGCATTCTGCCAGATACCATTTTAAAAAAAACAAAATCATTTTAAGTATGTTTAAACTTCCATTCAGTCTATATTCATTTTCGCAACTTTATTGAGATGTATAATTCATATATCACAAGATTTACCCATTTAAAGTATATAATTAGATGGTTTATACTATATATATACTATATAGATGGTTATACTATGCAGCTGCATAACCTTCATCAGTACCTAATTTTAGAATATTTTATTCCCAAATGAAACTCTGTATCCATTAGCAGTTACTCCCCATTCCCTCCTCTCCTGACCTTCTGGTAACCACTAATCTACTCTCTGTCTCTACGGATAAGCCTATTCTGGACATTTCTAATAAATAGAATCAAACAATATGTGGGCTCTTGTGTCTGGCTTTTTTCACTTAGCATGTTTTTGAGGTTCATCCCTGTGGCAGCACATATTAGCACTTTATTCCTCTTTATTGCGGAATAATATTCCACTGTATGGATATGCCACATTTTATGTATCCATTCACTAGTTGATGGACATTTGGCTGCTTTCTCATTGTGTTATTTTGAAGAATTCTGCTACATAAATTTTTGTACGGACTTAACATTTTGAACACTCCTACACAAATTTTTGTGTGGACATAATACTTTCATTGTTGGGCCATATGACCATATGCTCAACATTTCACATAAGCATATTCTACGCTTAACTTGAGGACCTGCCTATTTTCCAAGGTGTGCCAGTCATTCCTGAGGTAGGAAAAGCAAAGGCCTATTTATTTTCTGAGAGACAGTGAAATAGTTTCTTTTTAAACAAAGGGTAGGGCCATAACCTCGAAAGCCCTAACATTAGTTTGAAACAGAACTATAGACAGAGCATCGGAATTTGGTGACTAAAAAAGCCTTATGAGTGACAACGAATGGACCCCAAGATGAGGCTGCTATTCCTTGGCTTAGTGATCTACCTTCGGGTATATTTCTGATGACCCTATCTTTTGCATGACTTGTTGGCAGTTGTATTGAAATCCCACACTTCCATCTTATTAAATGTTGAAATAGCCAGCTTTCAAAAAGTTTCTACCATTAGGAGTTTTGATATAACACATCAAAACATTTGGATAAATACAGATATAGATATTAGATATACATATGAAATTCATTATCTAATTCTACCTTTTATTACAGATTTAGGGAGGACAATATTATTTTAATTTAAAATAAAAAATATCATCATCTTTTCTTAAATTACTTGTGGCAGATATTACATCTGGCTCATTGTTGCATCCCTCATCTTTAATCATAGGGGCTAGAGAGGCAACAACATTTGTTGAATTCAAGCTGAATTGCATTTACCCAAAAATTCTAGTAATTAATTTTTAACCTGCTACACATGAACTAAAACTAAAGTCTACGCATCCAAAATGCAACATGTGAAATCACTGGGTGGGGATGTGTATGAACATGTATGTGAATATGCTTTGGAACCTGCAGTTTAACTGCCTTTATGAAAGAAATATAAGTGATAAGCACTTTGGAAAATACATGGTGAATATTTTCTGTTTCAGCATGTTCCTTTCCCTGGAGAACAAAGCTGAAGTACTCTTTTACAACACTCTAACAGAAATCTATAAAGGCAAGTTAAAAAAGAACACATATTTTTGCAAACAGGTTTCCTTCTTCCTGAAAAGACTTTAAAAACATGTATTCCTGTCCAGGGATTTCGTGGTCCTACGCTAAGTTCAGAAAGGAAAACACATTCAGTTCATCTGTCAGAACTACTTGAAATAAAGGCAGTCACCTTCTAAAAGGGCATATCACGTAGAGTGACAAATGTCAGGTACCGTTTATAAAAATTCAATACTATTAACATCTGATTGCTACTTTTCACCAATTCCTCAATGAATGTGGTTTAATTTTTTAATGTGAGATTCACAATTTTTTCTAATATGCTAATAGTATGATGGATTCATATCTTGGATGTGTAAAAAACCCACTAAGTCAATAGAGTTCTTGCAACACACAAATATATTTTTCCCTAATTGGCAAAGAACATGCTGCCCTGTAGATTTCATTTGTCAATACAAAACAAAGTATATTTCAAAGATTAGATGTATAGTCTAGGAAAACAATCATGACATTTAAGTAAACATAAATGGATAAAACTTTTGAAATTTTTTGAACTGAGAAATATTTTAAAAGAATTAAAGTATATCTAGATTTTTGTTCATGCTTCAAAGCAATATAGCTATCTATGTTTTATATTAAGAAAAACCAGAGGCAGTGCTTAGCGTAAAATGTTCTGTAATCCTGGTTGAAATTAGCAATTTAAATGTGCTGAATGAGGTTACAGTGCAATATCTAATGCACAAATCATAGAGATTTGAGTACTTGCATAGTTGTTAAAAATGTATCAAAAAGCCATAGGTTAACAATAATGAATGTATGTTACATTATTATTAAAATATGCAATCTTTGGTAATAATTTATTTGTTTTACAAATGCATTGGGGGGCTAAAATTTATCAATTCATCTGTGACAAAGCATGAAATTCAATATTGCTCACCATGACCAATCCATGAAATTTGTCAACTTTGTTCCCAATTTTCACAGGGCCTTCCTCTTAGATGAAATGACCCATTGAACTGAGAGCATAGCAATTTTTTCATCTATGGTAAATCAGTTTAGTTTCCTAGGATTTATTATGGGCTTCAGACTTGAGCTTTTTATGATTATGAACCATTATGTACATAATATCAACCGTATGGTGATTTATCTCACTGTTTCTTCCCCTTTCTGAAAGAATTCTCCATTTCTAAAAGTAGTTCTCAACGTGTGTTGCTAGAAGGAACACTCTGGAAACAATGGGTTTACTGAAAGTCAGAGTAGGCGAAGCCGAAATAAAAGCTGTTAATTCTTTTAGAATATCTAATACAAATGTGTCAAAATTTATTAAAAATTAAGATTTGTATATCGCTTTTACCAGAATGTTATGCAAAGAAACACTTGACCTGATTTATCCTTAGAAATAGACATGTGAAATTTTTACTACCCATGAAGATATAATTATTTGGTTAAAAAATAAAAGTGACAATTTGGGAGGAGGATATAAACAAAATGGTATTAATGTTTTATGATAAGACATATTCTAACCTCCTCTATAACATTACAGATTTGAATTGCATTAACCAGAAATCAAAATAATTCCACATTTCTAGATTTTTCTAAATCTTATTTGTTGAGCTAAGTAAAATATTTCCACATTTAAAAAATGTAATTATTATTTCTATTTCCATTTGCCATTGCTAGCTGAAGTATATCTCAAATATAGTTTTCTTTTTCATAAAGTATCAAAAAATCACTGTGATAATCAGGCCATCAATATAATTTGATCATTTAAACAACCCAAATAGTGAAGCTGAAAATGTTCCTGATTATATTAGAGCTTTATCAGCTGAATGGGGTTGACCAATAGAGACATAACACATTTTTGGGCACCGAATTGTATTGAGAATTATGAAACTCTATTGGTTGGTGTTAGTTTTATAAAATGGCCCAGTTCACAGTATCAAAAATGCACTTCAAAAGATTTCTACTTGTAACTTCACATAATTCAATAAGTGTTATGGAAATAACTTGTTAATCACATTATTATATATCATAATAGCTAAAAGGAAAATACATTTGATACTTACTTATACAATTCTGTTAATGGTGAAGTCAAAATGACTAATGTTGTAAACAGATTATTGCAATGGGTATGGATTTTAAAAATTTTATCATCTGTATGCTGATGAGGATTCAAAAGTTTCTGTACAGATGTACAAACTGACCATAACATGTTCTCAGTGCATATCAGAATGGTTGTGACATCAAGTCTGTTGGAAAGAAAGAAGAGAAAATCATGTTAAACAAAATAATGTTTCTGCTTGGTAGGCACTTTAATTCATATCTCTTGTACTAAGCATATGTAAGAATAGAAGAATTCAGTTAGATATCAGAGCTTCAGAGATCTAAACCAAATAGAAAGTATCAAAGATAGATACTCTTTGAATTTCTAGGTGTTAGATGACCCACAATACCATTATCTTTAGGGATGGTGAGCTCTGTAATAGCGTTTTAGGAGTGCTTTTAAAAAATGTTTATTTTACATTATTAGGATTCTGTTCAAGAAACTCAAGAGATCATCCCAGAAATTACGCTGAGTCAAAGAGAAGCTAGATGAAGAGAAAAATTTGCTATTTTCCATATGTATGTATGATAGGTTAAAATTTCATGGCAGAACAATTCTCCTCACTCATGAGCAAACTGTCAAAAAAAAGTTACAAGATTGGTAGCACGTTCTCCCAGCAAGTGGGAGATAAGAAGAAATGACAAGGCCGGGCGCGGTGGCTCAAGCCTGTAATCCCAGCACTTTGGGAGGCCGAGATGGGCGGATCACGAGGTCAGAAGATCGAGACCATCCTGGCTAACACGGTGAAACTCCGTCTCTACTAAAACTACAAAAAAAACTAGCCGGGCGTGGTGGCGGCGCCTGTAGTCCCAGCTACTCGGGAGGCTGAGGCAGGAGAATGGCGGGAACCCGGGAGGCGGAGCTTGCAGTGAGCTGAGATCCGGCCACTGCACTCCAGCCCGGGCGACAGAGCGAGACTCCGAGACTCCGTCTCAAAAAAAAAAAAAAAAAAAAAAAAAAAAAGAAGAAGAAGAAGAAATGACAAACGAAGCTCAAATCGAGAAGCCTATAGTTTCGGAAATGTTGAATATTAAATAAATTTGTGGAAAATATGCTGTATTATTTATCTTATTCATAGACTTACTTCTTTGTTTCCATCTTTCTTGAGTTTTAATAGGGACCCAAAGATCTCTTTAATTATTATTTTGGCACATAACTAAATTGAACAGACCTAAGTTAGTTTCCTTTTTTTGGTTGTTTTGTTTTAAATTCAGGGTTGAAGAAACAGAAGATGAAAATTTTGAAGTGATAAGAAAAATACAAGTTTGAGGATCTTTTAAAATGACATTTTGGCTTCAAATTTATTATATAATAAATACTACATATTAATAATATATGACACATATGTAAATCATATATATGGCTTAGTGATGTGACATTTGAAGGCTACTGGAATATTAAAAGAATCAATAGTAGCCTTTATAAAGGTTTAATTTTAGTTTGTATATGCTTTTTCTAATTGCTAGATAAACAATTTCTAATCCAATATATATGTAGAAACACACATACACAATCTGATTTCCATAATAATGGTGGTTTAGGAGTAGCCAGTCAAATAAAAATATTTATATATTTTACTTACAAAAACTAGAAGCAATAATTCTAACATTGCATGGCATTTTTATGCAACCACCCAGAAAATAAAAACCAAAAGTCTCTATTCTACAGTTAATTAATTAAATATACTACCCATTTCTACTTGTTTCATGAGCTAACAGTAAAGCTGATTTCACATAATGACTTGCCATTTCATAATCAAAAGTGATTTATGCTATATAAGGAAAAGAATGAAGGTATTCTTTGCTTTCAAAAGGAATTTTCCATCTATTCTTAGTTCAATTTTTTAAAAAAGTCTAGTCAGTAATTCAAAACAGCCTGTGCAAAATGCCATATTTATGAAACACTGCAGCAGGACCTAAACGCCCTTCAAATTGCAGCACGCTTTACAAGAACATGACCAGGAAATGATTCCTCCTGCCAAAAAAAAAAAAAAAAAAAAGACTCCCATGTCCGTAGGTTCCTCCTAAAATATATCTGAAAAAAGATTATTCCACCTAAAAGGTCTGAATCACATTATACAGAATATTTACAAAACAAAAGCCTTTTCTTCATATACATACAAGACCATTGTAGTGATGTAAGCACAATTCATACATTCATTGTCTAGAGAACTCATAGAATTGTACTATAATTCAGTCTTATTTAATACTCAGTGACTGTTGCTCCTTATTTTCTGTGATTTCACATTTTGTTGAACTGGCTGTTAGTAACAAATAGTGAAAATAAAAGGAAAAAATAATTAGAATGTATTAGGAAGAAAATAATTAGGTTTTCTTAATGAAGATAAGCTTCTATATTTAAAGGCTTAACAAAAAACAACTAAAATCCCCTGGTTGCCTAGAAGTAAAAATCAAATGTGTCAAACTGACTGCTCCATCACAGCATGGATGCTTTGGTATCAATTTCAGGGCCTTAATTTTCTATTTTTATCTTATTAACATTTGTGTATCTATATCCTCGATTATAAGACACCTTGAATCATTTTTTTAGAAACAAGTGGATTCTATAGACAATTTTAAGGAATAAAAAGAACAAATTTACTTCGATTCAGGTTTCATATTTCCACCTAAATAACTCAGGAGAATAGAATATGATTTCTTTTCAGATGTTAGAAACATGTTAAATATATAAGGAGTATGTCATGAGATTCAGAATTCTGCTTCATACCCAACTAATGAAAAGTTTTCTTGAAAAGCAATGTTTTTCAGAACTTCAGTTACCTTAACTGTGGAGTTCTTTTGCGGCTGGGGTGGGCCCGAGTGTATCTGGAGGCCAGTAGACCCAAAGATTTCTCCAGCACTTCTGCTAGAATCTCCTGGGCTAACTTAGGAGGCAGAATGGTCCAGAGATCGTAACGAAGAGCCCAGCAGAAATAATGCCACATCTGGATCGAGAAGGAACATCTTTCCCCCTGGCAAAGCCACCAAACGTTAAACCATAGAATTACATCTTTAAAATGTCAGTTTGCTTCCTATGAACCTAATTAGTTCAGGCTGAAAGGAAATAGCTAAAGAGTTTGACACACTAGAAGACCAACAAAGATTTTTGACAAGATGTAAAACATCCTTATTGACAAAGGAACAGATGTTTTATTTCAATTATGAGACTAGATATTCTAGTGCAAATCCAGATCACAAACATTTAGCCTAGCATAGCCTTGATTTACCTATACCTAGCCTAGGGTTTAAAATTTATTTTTAAACAACTAGCTTTGTAGTTGCTGGAAAAACCATGGTAGCTTGTTTAAGATAGTGGACTGGTTCTTCTAAAATTAAAATCTATTTGAATCATTTCAGTAGGTATATTTTTCTGAGCCTATTAGTATCATTGAGGTAATTTTATAAATGTTTCAGATTTCACATTATAATAAAGTGACAGGAGTAAAAATAAACTTGCATACTGCATTCTTAGGAACATTCTTGAAACCAAGGGGAATGGGTAGCTATCGAAGATCATTACATTAGGCTATTTTGCCTATGGTATTTAAATAACAATACTAGAAGCAGATATCACAATAGTCTGAGTTTACAAGATTTTTTAAAGCCTAGGCACATATTATCATCATTTCTTAGTATTTTTATGGCACCTTGTACTTTTAAAGAGTCATATTTTCATTCCTTTCCACCCCTGTACAGATCTCTTCTGTGTGCCAAATTTTCTGACTGCAGAGGAAGAACTAACAATGGCCAAGGCCAAGGGGAACAGGCAGAAAGAAGAGGGTGGCCTCAAGTGATTTACAAGCATTAATCAGGTAACACATACTCTCAGGGAGGTATGCCAGTAGTTTCACCCCATTTTCTTTAAATCAGATCAAATGATTATTTGAAATAGGAAGATTAGAACGCATTCTTCAAGCATTATCTTGATTATGTTAATATATCAGAAGTTAAACTAGTAAAATTTCCTATTATATTCCAAGTGATTATCTTTTACTTAAAATTTCTGCTTTGCCCACTATCTGTATTTGTCAGGCAAATGTCATGGAAAAAAAAAAAAAAAAAAAAAAAAAATCTGCTGTTCTCTTATACCAAAAGTGATCATTTCTTATGCAGACACTCCCATTAGTATTTTCTTTATGTATTACTCTTCTGGTAGTTTCTTTGATTACTAATATCTTCTGCAGCCATCGAAACAATAATAATTTATAGTCATTATCTACTGACTTTCAAATGGCATTTATAGATGAGTAGAATTTGTATTCTTTGGGTAAGAAACTTGGGCATTAAAATGTCAGAGTCGAGCTCAAACTGGAGGGGACTTTGGCCACCAGCTTCTGATTTCCTAATAAGGTGTGCATCTAAACTTTTTAAGAAAAAAGAAATTACAAAATTAATGATGAAGCAGCAAAATTACAGTTTCTTATGCTTTCTTTGTTGTGTGTTTCGATGAATACTTTTTAAACTAAGAAAGGAGTTTGAATGCCTGATTCTCTTATACCTTTTGTGTTGCATGTAAATTTAAGCAAAACTGACTCCAGTTGATAGTGACTAGCATGAATGATTTACACTAACTGTGCCTACGGAAATGGGTGAGTTCTTACTACAACATGATCAAAATGATTTCTCATATTCTTCAAAATATGAAAAACCAATTTCTTCAATAGCTACCCTTTAGTGATAAATTAGAAAATAAAAGTAACTTTAGGCACACAGATTTCTTCTCTTAAAAGTAAAAAAATACTCATTTTAAGACTTTTTAAATTATAAACTTCATGTTTACTTTAAAATATTTCAAATAGGTCTTTGTTCTAACAATTCTTTTTAAATTCATACAACTTCAATGTACGCAAGGGTTTTCATTAAACTAAATGTGATTCATTTATTTTTCTGACCTGTTTCCTTATTTGTTGTCATTTCAAAAGTATTCTGCTAGTAAACATCTGTTATTTTTGCAGACCCACTGTAATGTAAACACATGTGAGCTTTTATTTAGATTATATATCAGGAAACAAGCAGCTGGGCTTTATTATAGAAGCCACTCAATATTATCTTTGAACAGACAATTCTTTATTCTTTGACTATTGGAAAACACAAGTTCCTAAAACTGAACAGATGTCAACTATCCTAAAAGCTTAATTTTAAACATATAATCTGAACACCCACTGTGCCATCGTGACCAGCACCTCATCAGAGAGATACAGAACTCTGACTCTCTCAAGCTGACAGTTTAGAAAATGGAAATAATGTATCTAGATCTCACTTGCTATCACAAAACATGAGCAAATATTGCTGCATATCTTGTAAATTATTTTACTATTTCTTTACTATGCTCTGCACATGGCGATAGGTTCCCTTGAGATCTCTATCCTACCCTTCACCCCCAGTCAGGCAGATATCATCTTTTTCCCTCTCAAAGCAGGCCTGCCAAAAACATACCAATTCTGTTTCACAAATCAGTTGGAATAATGGGGAGAGCAGAAGAAAGGGGTGCAGTAAGCAAGATAAAACCATGTCAGGTATGCCAGTTGTCAAAACAGTGTAAAATCAGTGCTATTTTTAGAAGGTTCTTATTTTTGATACATTAAAAAAAGTATCACTTTATTTTTCTGAGAATAAATAACCACCACTAACTCTGCAATTAAATTGTAACTACTGACCATGTAAGTATATGGAAGCTACAGTACCATGTAATCACAGGGTAACTATCTCGTTATTTCTGTCTTTGAAGCTAAAGCCTTGTCATAAGATCTAAGAGCTGCATGTTACATGGTAATTTGTTGGTTTTTAAAATACTTGGTAACTTCAATAACAGGTTCTCAATGCATCCACTTATTTACACTGTACGACTCTTCTAGCTCCCAATTTGCATAAGAGGAAACATAATACCCCTATGTTGAACATATAGTGAGATGATACCTGTCCTTCATGTAAAACATCATATAAAATTGCTCATTAGTAGTACACTGACATATTGAAATAGTTTGAAACATGAGTAGGATTCATTTTCAACCACTTAGTTTACTTCAAGGCAAATAAGGAAAATATGATGCTGCCAGGAGAGGGGAAGACCAATACTTTCATTCTTATCTCAGGCTACCAGCTGCACCATACCACTTTCTCTTTCTCATTCTGCTCGCTGCTTCCATGACTGTTTGAAGTATGTCAGGTTTGGAAAACTCTATATGGATGCTCTTGCAAAGAGAAAAACTCTCTGGGAAGGGCCTCTGAATGAGAGATGAAATGGCCTTAGAAAAAGTGGAAAGTCCTTTAAGAGAGCTTCTTATTAGCCGCTCCTCTCTGTTGTAGTAACATTTATTATGATAATAACTCAGGCATAAATCAAACCACAGGAACCTTCAGTGCATGTGAGGTGACAGGAGCGATTCTGTTGAATAAAACTCCACTCTGTTTTCTCAATACTCTATAGTGATTAGGACAATCAAGAAAATGAAAGTCACAAACTTCAATCTAGAGGAAAGGGTAAAATGGAAAAGTTAATGAAACTGGGCATGGCTGCTGAATTGTTTTTAAACCCTGATTACCTTTTATTAAGATATTATAAATGTTTCACTCTGCCCTGGAATGAAGTTCGAGGAATTTCAAATATTGTGGTCTGTGCATAATCAATGAGATTTAGGTGAAGGGAAACTAATGAAGCTTGAAGATGAATAATTTTAATTGATCCTGTGTTTGGTTACACTGGGAATAATTAGGCTTCAATTTGGGATTTCAAAACATGGGCTAAATGAAAATAGGTAAGCTATAACTGATCAGATGGGTCTTTTTTTTTTTTTCTGAGATAGAGTCTAGCTCTGTCACCCAGGTTGGAGTGCAGTGGCTAGATCTCAGCTCATTGCAACCTCCACCTCCCGGGTTCAAGTCATTCTCCTGCCTCAGCCTCCTGAGTAGCTGTAATTACAGACAGGCATGTATCACCACACCAGCTAATTTTTTGTGTTTTTACTAGAGATGGGGTTTCACCATGTTGGCCAGGCTGGTCTCAAACCCCTGACCTCAAGTGATCCACCCGCCTCACCCTCCCAAAGTGCTGGGATTACAGGCGTGAGCACTGCGCCCGGCCTCAGATGGGTCTTAAAGCATACTCATAAGAACATACAATGAGAAGGAAAAAAATAAGTACAAAGAATAAAGCTGCTTAATAAAAGGTATTTATCAAACACATATGGAAATGTATAACAAGAAAAAAAATGCAAGGATATCCATAACTAACTGGTCCCTTTGGAAAAAATACAAGGTTGTAGCATTTTGGCATTGTTATCTCTTTGAGTTTTCATCGTATCCCATTATATTCCGACTATACAGCACAACATTGCAGCTCAAATTAAGTTATTTTTACTTTTAAGCAGAAGGAGAGTTCTGATGTCTAATTTATTTCAGGTTTTTAAAAACAGTGTTTTTCCTAAGTATGAATTCAATATTTAAAAAATATTATCCTAACAGTCTTCGTGTATTAGTAATGCCAAGCTCATGTTTCTAATTAGCCAGAAAGCAGGTAGGCAGTAAAACATATTTGTGTAAAAAGGAGGGATAGTAAACTTAACTTCACACCTCATAAAAAGCTTTGTAGTCATCCCAGTGGTGGCTCTCAGCATCCTGTAAAATGCTTGTAGCACAAACTCTGACGCAGTAGTTCGTAACTTGAAACTGTAGAGTGTTGATGAATTCCTGATATCGTTGGACAGGCACCAGGAATATGGGTCTGTTCAGAGAGAATGATCAAAGAGACAGAGATTTAAGGCCTGTGCAGTAGGAGATAACAATCTCCAGTACTACAAATGGTTTTGATTATTAGATATCAATCATTCATTTCCTCTTAATGCTGAAGTCTGCATCCACATTCACTTTCCAAAAAGGAAAAAAAAAAAAAGGCTGGTCTTTGTTTCGCAAGCCCTTTGAAAACGTACATCTGCTGTTCTACAAATATGCACTTCAACTTGAGACAAACTGTATTGTCAATACATCATTCAAAAATGAAAGTATTCTTTGTAAGCCTATTATTAGAGATCAGTGCGTTATTTAGGCATTAGGTTATTGTTATTACTAGAGAACAACATGCACTTGTCAGAACCAACTTTTATAAAGCTATCAAATGTACCACAAACACAGTCTTTATTTTTAAAAATTGCAATTTTGTAGATATCAATTATCTCATAAACTGTTTTTTAAAATTCTACAGAAATATTAAATAAAATGATTTCTGGCACATTTTGTTTATAAATTCAAGCCTGAATCACAACATCAGACTACTTATGAGAATTAAAGAAATATCAGTTATACCCTACATCAAGCCAAATTTATTCTACTTTTATCTTTAGCTATGAATATTACACTGCTTTCTTTCATATGTAATGGACTGTAAAGGCTGGATAAAGAATATAGAATAGATTCTTGGGGTCACACAGGACTGTTACGTCTACATATTTCTTTTGCAAGCAGCCATGTTATATCTAGACAGTGTAAGGGCAACAAGAAAGGCCATGTGATAATTAATCCCTGTGGTCATTTTTCTCTCTAGACAGAAAACATACTGTAGTTTTAGACTTCCAATACATGAAAATCAGACTGCCAGATGCTTCCTCTTCAAATATTGTACTTTATTACTAAATGGCTGTCCTGAAATATGTTTACATTGATCATTAGAATAGATTACAAGGAATTTATTTTCTAAGTCCACTCCATGAGACAACAAGTTTATTTTTCCTTTTCAGTGTGGTCAGTACAATGCACCTTACAAAACAAAAGGGTGTGTTCATTCATGTAATAACAACATGCAGAAAATCGTTGCGCTGGGTTAGGGTGCAGAAAATGCATGGTTCTTTTGAGTGTGCCTTTAGAGAGAGGAGCTTTCTTACTATCTACGTATCTAGTTTAATATTTCCCATGCTCCACCTTTTTGATATTTCCTAGTTAAGACAAATGAAAATAATTCACCATGTTAATTATTACTTTCTCTTTCTCAAATCTTATTACCAAAATTTCATTCCTGTGATATCCAAAGATTACACGTTTCTTCAAGCATGGCCATCAACTTAATTTAAACAACACTCACTTTTTAGTAATTTCCTTCATCAAATTATCATATCGCTTGAAATGCTGGAAGACATACACTGCCGTGGAGAGGTACGTGTGCAGGTTTTTCAGGGGTGCTTTGGAAGGAACCTCCTTGGCTCTCTCTTGCAGTCTCTGCAGGACAGCTGTTGCCACTTTACAACAGGCCTCCACCAAGTTTGCTCTAATTTCCGGAAAAGAATCATCTCTGCATGCCAGAGCCAGTGGAAGCACGGTGTCAAGTTTTTCCATGATGTCAGAACAAAACTAGGGAGAAATAAATGTGGCACTGAGTTATTTGTATTCTGACAGCACCAAGTAATTTATGGACAGTGGAGCCAAATTCCTAAATAATGAATTTGGCATCAAACATAAATATAATGACACAGCTTTGTAACAATCGATTTCTCAGTTGTAGAAAGTTAAATGTTTTATGTCAAATAAGGAAATACCAAAACAATGCTTCTCTCTACATAACCTTCAAACCTTATGCTTACCAGACAGACATTATGAAAAACTCATCAACCAGCTATACATGACAGTACCTTTATCTGTAGTTAGTAGTACTCAGAAAATATGTATCCTTGATATTAACGTTTGCATTATTTTTTAAACTTATTCTAATTTTCTTTTGCTAAATTGCCATAAAGCGTTTTTTTTTTTTTTCAAATTAAATGCCACATTTAAATGTCAGTGTAATTTAAATACTCTAGAATAATCAGAAACAGTTTCATGTAGCATCTTCTTATTGGTAGGGTGTCAGCAACTTTTAGAAGTGATGAGTCTAGCCTTTCACTATTTATTATGTATCTTCTCTTTCTTAATGGCAGAAGGGAGGTGTGATGAATGGAAAAGTAAAGCCTGTCTCCACATGGGATCAGTCAACAGAGTACCCTAGGGACTCTAGGGAACTCCTTGTTTTGGAGCCTTAGGGTGAAGTGGCAGAATAAGGAGGTCATCTTCAAAAATTCTTTTAAGAATATCCCAATCAGCCGGGCGCGGAGGCTCACGCCTGTAATCCCAGCACCTTGGGAGGCCCAGGTGGGCCAATCACAAGGTCAGGAGATAGAGACCATCCTGGCTAACACGGTGAAACCCCGTCTCTACTAAAAATACCAAAAAAATTAGCTGGGCGTGGTGGCAGGCACCTGTAGCCCCAGCTATTCGGGAGGCTGAGGCAGGAGAATGGTGTGAACCTGGGAGGCGGAGCTTGCAGTGAGCCTGGATCGCACCACTGCACTCCAGCCTGGGCGACAGAGGGAGACCCCGCCTCAAAAAAAAAAAAAAAAAAAAAAAAAAGGAATATCTCAATCATAGGTTGCTGAACTCATTCTGGACTTAATGCCAAGCGACTGTATTTACCTCCTATTTTCTCAGTATGTTCTGTGACTTTCAAAGCACATATGGAGATGTAAGACTGATACTAACGAGATGAAAAGCTCATTAAGGTGTTAATGAAGATTTTTTTAAGTGCCCAAAGCTAGAAAAGACAGTACTTCCTTCAAACTCCTAAATTTTCCTGGAGTCATTCAAACGTATAATCAAGACAGGTGGTTTTCCCAGGGTTTCCCAGCTCCCCGTGAAGTCACAGAGGCCCCTTTTTGGTTGCCTTAGATTCATGGAGCAACAAGTTAGCATCAGGTGTAAGTCCTTTTAGGCAGCAGTGGCCCATGGATACCACTGAAGAAAACTGGTACTGGGTCAAGTACCAAGTATTTGTCAAGGGACTCCACCATTTGATCTACAGGTTCTTTTTGCAATGCTTTATACTAAAATAAATCCCATCATGTCAGTCATCAGTTTGAAAGGATTTTATATACTTGCTTTTCCAATTTTCTTTGGTTGTTCCTCCTCAGGAAACATATGGCTGTCTTGCCAAACTTGCTGGACATTTACAAGGTTCATAGCATAGCTCACAGCTGAAGACCTTTCATTCTGTTCCTGTTGGAGAATTTTTGTGGAAAAACCTTCAATTTCAGTTACTATGCAGTGCGCCATGGGAAGAGACACTTCTTTAAATGCACTTCTCCAGCCAAAATCTAGTAAGGTAGCCTGAAATATAAATGTATATGAAGTCACGTTAATCTTAACTCAGCAACAAATGTTTCTATTGTTATAGATATAAAATTATTACTTTCATTCAACATGTTGAATATATTCTTTGATATACTGTAAAAGCCATTCTTACAACATAAAAAATATTACCTAGTGAATAAAGCAATATACAAAAACATGTGCATTCTTTACACAGTAATATACTGACATTTCATTTTAATTCATCAGTAGATTTAATAAAAAACTTTTTAAAAAATTAAATCTCTTAAATATAGTTCAATAAAGCCATCTTTACAAGAACAGAAAGCTAGTTACTATTTATCACATAAAACAACCTTTAAATTCAATATATTTAATAAAGCCTAAATTAGATTTTTATAGTCTTTTTTATAGTTTATTGTTAACAAGTATTGCAACATAAGACAGCATTTAATATTCAAACTTTTATTTCTTTTTCACTCATAGAACTCCAGACAAGCCAAAAAATAGCAATAAGAAATAAATTTTTCAGAGAAAACACACCACTGCACTTTCTAGATTTTTACTTGCTCAGAATTTTAGTCTCTCCAGCTGCAAAGTCATAAGCAGCACTACTTTTGTTCCAAGAATGAAGAATTAAAAGAATCCGCACTGTTCTGTTGTGCTGGTGGGGGGTACTTGGAAGGGAGTAGAAGCGGTTGAGGTACAGTTGAGGGGTTGATGTTTTCTTTTTTGCTTTGGTCTATGACTCATAAGGCAATATATTTATGAATGTATATTTCCTCCAGGTCTCCTAACATTCTCTAAAGTTCAAAAGCATTATGGGTAGTAGGCTGAACCTATGCTTAAAATTAAACTTTCCTTATTTTAATGTAACTTTGTTTATAGTAACGTGCCACCTACCCCAACTTCAGAAAACCCTCAGCTCCATGTCCCTGACTGAATCACTTATTTTTCTTGATCTCAGGGGATTTTTTGGTAGAAAAACAAGAGAGTCAAATTGTATGATTTCTATGGTCCCTTTTATTTTAAAATTACTGAAATTATGATCATAAGCCTAATTTTCTTATATGTACAACCCATTCAGCAATAATTTTTTCTTACACATACTGTACAAAGTAACAAAGGTGATTCCTTTTTTAGAGCTAAAATTATATGATTCCATGACTCTAATCAGAAACATCGCTCTTGTTCTCATTACACTCATAACTGAATTGTAACGGAACTTTCTGAAGATTATTTGGATCTCAAGCATCAGAGGGCCTAAAACACATCTCTCTTATCTTATATTTGCATAAAATTCATCAAAAATGGGCCGGGCATGGTGGCTTATACCAGTAATCCCAGCACTTTGGGAGGCTGAGGCAAGCAGATCACTTGCGGTCAGGAGATGGAGACCATCCTGGCTAACACGGTGAAACCCCATCTCTACTAAAAATACAAAAATTAGCCAGGCGTGGTGGCGGGCGCCTGTAGTCCCAGCTACTTGGGAGGCTGAGACAGGAGAATCGCTTGAATCTGGGAGGCGGAGGTTGCAGTGAGCCGAGATCATGCCACTGCACTCCAGCCTGGGTGACAGAGCGAGACTCCATCTCAAAAAAAAAAAAAAAAAAAATCATCAAAAATTGAATCTACTCAACTGATACAATCTTCTTTCTTATAAGAGAACTTGGAAGTGGCATAGGTATATCCCTGTGCTATAACAGTAATTCCTTGGGACACATTTATGAAAAAAATGTAAAAATAAAACTACCTCCATGAAAATTCAAACAAAAAATGTCTGATTTTTGTTTTCCCCATCAGGGCATGTCTATTTACTAAAGCCATTCATTTATTCATTCAAGCAAATATGTCCTGGTGGAAATGTCATTAATTGCCATGGCTGCATTGAATTTTTAAAAATTTTTTGTGCAGTAAAAGTTACCTTTGCCCGTGATAATGTATATGTAATTATAATATGTTGGCCTATCTGAATTCTCTTTTCAAAATATAGAAAAAGAAGTATATTAACAGCTGCTCTTAAAAAGAAAACTGAAGCTGGGCATGATGGCTCACGACTATAATCCCAGCACTTTGGGAGGCCGAGGCAGGCAAATCACCTGAGGTCAGGAGTTCGAGACCAACCTGGCCAACATGATGAAATCTTATCTCTGCTGAAAATATAAAAAATTAGCTGGGCGTTGTTGTGGGCGCCTGTAATGCCAGCTACTTGGGAGGGTGAGACAAGAGAATCACTTGAACTCGGGAGGCAGAGATTGCAGTGAGCTGAGATTGCGCCACTTCACTCCAGCCTGGGTGACAGAGCGATACTATGTCTCAAAAAGAAGAAAAAAAGAAAACTGAAAACCTTTACTTATTCAAACCTTCGATAGTTTATTTGTTCTTATGAAATATAGTTTGCTCACTTCTACTCTTCTCATCTAATATTTGGCATTATACATATTCCACTTAGACTAGAGAACACTTACTAGTTGTTCCAAGAAACAAGAGAATCACATGGTTTTCTCTTCTATGCAAAAAGTAGATAATCTGTTGAATCTCTATTTCTATTATTTACTGCTGATTTCTTAGTACTGATTTTGATTTTTGGTTAAAGTATAATATATAACTTAGGATTTTCCCAATTATTTCTCTTGCTTTATAGGCCAAAACTGTCAAAACTATATGTTGTTTTGTCTCTTTAAATATTTACCTAGTGTATCAGTCAGGGTCCATTTGAAAAACAGAAACCACTCAAGATTTTTCAAAAGGAAGAATTTTAATGTAGGGTTTTGGTCACCTACATGATGGAAGATTTGAGAAGTCAAACATGGACTGTGAAGCAGGCCAGATATTAATAGAGCAGGAGGCCACAGCCACCCCTAGGGCTGGAGAAATGAAGAAAAGGGACTAAGTTATGGGAGAGTAGCTCCTGGCTACCAGTCGAAGCTAAAGCCCAAGCAGACCTGCCAGGTGGAACTGAAGCCATGCGGGGCAGGCTGCATGGTAGGAGCAGGGCTCAGGGTGTCACAGCCATTATCAGAAATGCTCCTTAAGAAAGAGAGAGGAGAAGAAACGCTCTGGTTTCTCTGCAACTCCTACCCTCCGTCAATGCCTTCCACGAGGTCTTCCATCAATGCCTTTAATTGACTAATCCATCCCAGAATCTGAAAGCAAAGGGGCCTGGAATGTGTAATTCTCTGCAATCTAGAGCAGAGCAAAGAAAACAGGTTTTGGGAACAAACAATCACAGGACGGGGATCATAAATATGAGGCCGGTTCAGATGATTGTTTCCTTTTCCTTTTTAATCTCCATTTGCTCACGTTTCAACAATTATCTATAGCCCACATCCTCTAAGTGCAGACCCTGAGTCAGGATAAGAACAAAAGATCTCTTGACTTCCATCTCTCTATTCCTCCCATGGAATAGATTTTACAAGAAGACAGCATCCCCACTAAATTGAATTTTCATCGAAAACTTATATGCCAATTTTCAATCCAAAATTGAAAAATTATTTTTTGTAGCAAAGAGTAAAACTCAAGACATTTTGCTTCATAATGGATTCACAGGCATCTGACGATGATCTTATATGTGAATTATAAAACACTTTTTTTTTTCCTTCACTTACCTCTTTTCCTGGTAGCAATTGCTCTGAAGGAATATTGGTTTCGTCTGCTCTAGGTTTTTCTATTACAAGTTCTCTATTGGATTTCTCCAACATTCCTAAGGAATAGAAAAGAAAACAAACACACTAATATATATTGTTTAAAAGGCATATTAGATGTGATTTATAAATTCAGGTAAATATTAACTAGGTAGAAAAGCTCTATCCACAGTACATACATACATATACACATCCACAAATAACAATATATAGAGAATACAGTCAAAAAGATGCAGGCTGATGTCACCATTACAATAATGATAGAATCAAGATAGATAGAGTCCTTTTCCCATATACAACTTGATGAAATCTACATCCCAATTACATTCATGTTTGATGTACATAAACATATAATCTTCAAAATAAAGATTTTTGTCATTAATTTATTTTCATGTTGATAATGTAAGAGGACAAAATAAATATTATTTCCTTGTTCATTTAAAAAGTTAATTCTAAAGTACTACATTTTAAAACTGTTGGTATTTCCTAGCATGTTAACTTCAAACAAAGAAGAAAAATACATAGATGAACATCAGCATAACAAGAAAAATTATACCCTTAAGCATATCAATGATTCATTTAAAAAACACAAACTCTGAGACAGGCATAAAATAATCCCTAGCGAGGCGGAGCTTGCAGTGAGCTGAGATCCGGCCACTGCACCCCAACCTGGGCGACAGAGCGAGACTCCGTCTCAAAAAAAAAAAAAAAAAATTCCTAGCTCCAAAAATGGAAATATTTCCACAACTTTTGTTTTTTACAATTAAGAAACTCTTTTTTTACAGTTAAGAAACTCTTTTCTATGGGGAAAAAAATTTGATCTATAAAAATGTAATAAATAACTACTCCAAAAATAAATCTTTCTACTTTTGCATTAAGATTAGATTAATGATAATTTGATTCAATATGAATAATTTAATGTTTACCCTTTTTTTTGGCTTAGACATGGTATATGATGATGAATTCTATGTTATGATCTAACTTTTCTTTTTTTCCCCACGATTTACCAAGAATCAATTTCTTTATGCCTGGGCAAAGCAAATTTCAAAATCTAACTGACTTTATCAGTAAGGACTTTGACCAATAGAGTCATCTAGTAGATGCATGTTTTCTTTTCCTAAATGTGGTTCTATGAACTTAATTGTCATTGATTTCTAAGGAGTACAATTGATGAAATAAAAGCGTTTTGTTCTGATGTTAATTTCAACCATCTTGTGCATAAAGTGTATTAAAGGTAAAAAATCCATTTGGTCGGCAATAACATCATTATTTTGGGAAATTTTATCGGAGTTTATATATTCTGAGGAAAAGTTTTCATCAACTCTGGTATTTCTTAATCATCTTTGGATTCATGAACACTCTTAGAACATGATTAAAGTGACAGAACACTGCATACAAAAATGCATAATATGACTGTATGGCAGGCACATGTGCATCACACACACACACACACACAGACACACACACACTATTGGGGATTCCCAGGCCCTCTTGTAAATCTCATTAATTAATCCAATAGGCCCATGGACTGCAGTTTAAGAATTCTGTTCCATTTCTCAAGACACATCACAACATAGAGAAGGTTTTAGACTCAAACAGTGTTACACCATTTAACTTAAAATGCTTTTTTATGGCTTGCATTTTATGATGTATTTTCAAAAAGAAGGTGTTACAAATAAGGATCACTTCTAATTGAAATAAAATCCAGAGTAGTCAAAAAATTTTAAATAAAGAAAAATGAAACTATAAGCCCATTAAAAGAAAATATGGAATTTTTTTAAGAGATCCACATAAAGAAGACTTTTCAGGACACAAAATGCAGAAACCATAAAGTAAGTCTGCACAACAAAAATACCATCAACTGTCAAAGTAGATATGACAAGCTGACTTGCCAATCTTTCTCAAAATGTCCACTTTCTGAAAATTAATAGTTTATTTTTTAGCGAAGTTTTCAGTTTATAAAAAAATTGAGCAGAAAGTACAGAAAGTTTTCATATACTTCCTCCCTGCCCTCAGTTTCCTCTACTGTTAACATCTTGCAATATATGGTATATTTGTGACAGCTGATGAACAAATGTAAAAATATTATTAACTAAGTCCACAGTTTACATTATAGTTCACTCTTTGTGTTGTGCAATTCTATGGGTTTTGCCAAATGTATAACGTCATGTACCCCCCATTACTCTGTCACACAGAATAGTTTCCATGCTTTAAAAATCCCCTTTGCACCATTTATCCATCCCTCCTCCCCATACCCTCACCCTGGTACCCACTAATCTGCTTACTGTCTTTATAGTTTTGCCTTTTTCAAAATGTGATATAGTTGGAATCATACAGTATGTAGCCTTTTCACATTGGCTTCTTTTGCTTAGTGATATGCATTTAAGGTTCCTCCATGTCTTTTCATGGCTTGACATCTCATTTCTTTTTATCGATGAATAGTATTTCATTGTATTGATATACCACAGTTTGTTTATACATTTACCTAATGAAGAACATTTTAGCTGCTTCCAAGTTTTGGCAGTTAAGAATAAAGCTGCTATAAACATTCCTGTGCAGGTTTTTATACGGACTAAGTTTTCAACTCATTTGGATAAATCCCTACGAGTGCAATTGCTGGATTGTATGGTAAAACTATGTTTAGCTTTGTAAGATACTGCCAAACTGTCTTCAAAAGAGCCTGTACCATTTTGCATTCCTAACAGCAATGAATGAGAGTTGTTCTACATCCTTGCCAGAATTTGGTGTTGTACGTGTTTTGGATTTTAGCCATTCTAATAGGTGTGTAGTGTCATCTTGTTTTAATTTGCATTTTCCTAATGACATGATGTTGAGCATCTTTTCATATGCTTATTTGCCATCTGTATATCCTCTTTGGTGAGGTGTCTGTTCAGATCTTTTATGAATTATTAAATTGGGTTGTTTGTTTTCTTGTTGAATTTTAAGAGTTCTTTGTATACTTTGGATACAAGTTCTTTATCATATATGTGTTTTGCAAATAGTTTTTTCTTAGTTCATGGCTTATCTTTTCATCCTCTTTACGATCATGCCTATTTATTTAGCAATTCTACTTTTGAAATTTACCATCCAGATATAGTTGTGTACATATAAGAAATAGTTAAGGAAATTTGCCATATCATGTTTTGTGGTAGCAAATGAAGAGGGAAAAAAATCCTAACTGTCCATCAATGAATAACTGGTTAAATTATGCACCAATGGAAAACTATTCCTCTAGTAGAAATAACGAGGTGTTTCTACATTTTCTAAATTGTTATAAAAGAGTACATTTACATAGTATGATAAGATTTTGAGTTATTTTTAACATGGCGATATATATGAAGTAGTTACTCTTTCATCCCATTCAAAAGTTCTCAGTTTTTTAAAAAAGAAAAAATAATAAAGATCAAGTTGTTAATGACAAGAAGGGACAACAGTTGGATTCTTAACGTCACTTTACTTTTCTATAGATAGCTCATTTAAAAGGTATTTACTCTGGAAAAATACTAGATTGAAATATAAGCTTTGCAGGTCTGTTTCTGGAACTAACTGTCTGCTATTGTGTAGCTAGAGTTTAAGACTTACAGAAAAAGTTAATTATCTTGTTTTTATCATTTCACTTCCAAATACATTATGTTTATTCACTCAAAGTAATGTGCTCAGATGTTTATACAAACCATCTGCCTATATTCAAGATGACTAAGGAAAAAAAGAAACTTTCCAGACTTCTCTTGCTGGTGAGCAATTCTATGGTAAGATATAGAAAATGAATTATCAAGCAATTATGATAGCCTTTAAAATATAATCCCCCTGCCCCAAATTAAAATGGTTTAAAAAAACTTAATTCTGTACAGGGAAGCAAAAGTTATCATCTTTAGGTAGGATTACTAACATGGGATCTACACTAATATGATATCTTCTGGATTTAACAAATTGTGGCATTTTTACATTTGTTTGGAATTCAAAATGGTCAATTTTGAAATTTGGCAATGTAAAACTCTATGGACTCTAAACATTTGATGAATTGTTTCATATATTTTAAAAATGTATTTAAAATCTATATACTTATTATCATTGTCTAGAGAAGGTAGCCCACTTTCGGCTCATCACTGTAAAATATAGTTATTTGCATGCAGTCAATACTGGTTTCTTTAAAAGCATGCCTAGATTAAGAACCTCAGAAGAGTGCAGAGGGTCACAAGAATGCCAGCTGCTCAACAGCTTCCCCTACAGAGTTCTCTGTGGTTCATTTTACACTTCTGGTTAGTTTCTACACTGCCGCTTTCTTTCACAGAGAGTAGAGGTTGGCAGTACTTCCCTGTGACATCCACTTTCACACCCAAATTGGTCTTCATAGGTTCCCATTGTGTGCACTACAAAGCAACTTGCCTTGTTGGCAGCTCTAAGTGGGAACTACAAGTCTTTCTTTTCTTCACTGTTCTTTTTCTGGCTCACAAGCAACCTCCCACCAAAAGCTGAATCTGTAGAAGAGACTACATCCAAGAGATAATACCATGAAAAAGTATGAAGAGAAACCCAGGTGGCCACCTTGCAAATTTCCAATGTGGAAGCCTTCGACCTCTCTGCCCAAGAAACAGCTAAAGTCCTAGTGTAATGAGCTTTACAAACCCTAGGAGCCTCTTTACCTTAACTACATACGCCTCCCTAATACAATCCCTTAACCATCTAGCTAAGGAACTCTTAGAAGCCATTTGACCCCTCTTAAGACCCCCTAAGAGTACAAACAATCTTTCAGAAGATCTGAAATCTTTGATTCTTCTGAGACAAACCCTAAGTGTTCTTCTTACATCCAATTGAAGCAGCCATTGCTCTTTGTCATTGCTGGGGCTAAAGAAAAATGAGGGCCAAGAAGGCTCCTGGTTTAGATAAATCTCAGATGCCACCTTTGGAAAAATTGAGGAATTGCCCAAAGAACAACTTTATTCCACAGAAGCATTAGAAATGCCCCATAAATCAAATCCACGGCCACTCCATAAGATATCATCACCAAATACAGTAAGGCACCACAGCAGTCAAATAATGTCCTATCATTTTTTGAAGTGACAAAAATAGAAAACCATCAAATCATGACCAAACAAAAGCAAATAATGACAAAATATCTTTTCTTTCTCATAAAATATTTATTGTATCTATACAAAATCTCTTGTCTACAATCAAATTACTGAGAGAACAGCCAATTTGGCTAAGTCTACAATATAATAGTAAAATATCAAAGTAAAAAGTAAAATATTTGGTTAATCGTTTTTATATTTTCTCTATGTGATGTTAAGTGTCTGGACATTTTTTAAAAATCTGCACAATGAAAAAAAAACTCACTTTTCATCCGTTCATATGTTTGGGTTACATAGACATCATAGGCAACTCTTTCCAAGATCTTTATTAGCAAAATATGCTCCAATCAAAATAAACACACAGGAAACCAAATGACTTCTGCTCTTTTCCCCCCCCATTCTCTTCCTTACAAGATTTCTAAGCAAAACTATTGGGAAATACCCAATAGTTAAGATATAGTTGGCTTCCTTAATCATCCATTTCAAGGAGTCTTTTCCTTCCTGATTTAAGAAACCAGTGCTTTTGATAAGAATTGATTAACTTGGATACACTGAATAAAACATTTAAGATTTTTCTTGACAATTTCCCTCAAGATCATTCTTCTCAGGAATCCATTTACATAAAGCTGTGTCAGATTAAATCAATCTTGGCTTTGCGACCAAAAAAATATGAATTTCAACAAAGAAGACTACATATATCACAAGGAGACGTTCTAGTACTTAGACACTTCTTATACTTGCCCCTTGAAATTCCTTCTACATCCTGTGTTTGATAATCCACAAATGTGTTCACATAGTCCACTATTATTAACACGATATTGAAGTTGCTTTTATCTGCCTTACTGCTTATAAGATGGCATATTTACAACAGTATATTGTGACAAATGACATATTTGCTCTGTTGACTTTATTCAAGAATGGTAACCATTGCTCTCAGACATCCAGCATTTGCAAGTCTCCACATTGCCTGATATTAATCTAATGGAGTTGAATCACCGTTTTCAAAATTGTTCTTCTTTTCTCTAAAATCAGCATGCTAAATCTGTGCTTCAATTCTTGGCCATTTCAGTGTTATATCTTTATAATACCTCCTAACACAATTCTAATTTTGAATTTATGCTGACTTTAAGAAGAATAAAGTTCATAAAATTGACTTAATTCCCAAGGGTCTAGCCTAGGACTAATACAAGATGATTCAAAATGGGTAGAAGCCTAGATGTTTTGAAGTTCATTCTGTTTCTTGATCCATAACTCAGAAAAGATCTGTTAGAGATATAGATGACAGATGATAAATCTTAGCCAGGCATAGTGGATGAGCACCAACTCCAACGTCAACTGTTCCAGGAACCAATATGTCAGTCAATAATGAGGATATCATATTTCTCTATTCAGATCTCTGTTTGACCTCACAGTCAAACTCTATCTAAAAGATGTTTTAAGGGTCACATTCTCTCCTAATGAAATCTACTTTTTCATTCTCTATTTTAATTAATACTCATATTTTCTGACTTGTATTTTTATTATTTTCCCCTTGGTTTTTTTTTGGGGGGTGGTTGGCTTCAGAAATCTATAGTCCATTTTCATTTTTTCTTCTATAGTCCATTTTTATTTTTTCTTCAAATTATCTCCAACTTTGAAAAAGTAATCTATGTTATTTATTTCATAATACAACAGTGTTACCTAAATTTCACCCGAAACAAAGAAGGCCAGTAAACTATGCTTAATGTAAAACAAAATTTCCAACCCTATAACTTTTCTGACATTATTTACATGGGCAAAGTAAGTAAAGGAATACAAGAGTAAACATGTTGAGTGAAAATAATTTTACCAAGAGATCGGTTTTGGGTATTAATTTTTTCAGACTAATTGTTAATCACTTGCTTCCTTCACTTTTTTTTTGCAGATGCAGTAAATATATATATTTACACTCCCTAGAATGGCATATGGCATCATGTAAAGGAGAACTTTGTATATTTCATCCTGAGAAAAATGAAAATTTTTATAAATATAGATATGATAACAGAGAAGACACCTAAACCATTATGCCTTTGAATTTTACCTTTAATGTTAATATTATTCCGTACACGTGGCATGGTTTCTTTCAAAAGGATTTTTGTTAAGACTAAACTAAAAACAACATATTCCATAATTATAATTACTATTTTAACAACTCACATTTATTGAGCATTTATGATGTACTAGACATTCCCTTAGGTATTTTATTTTCACAGTCATTTAATTCTCACAACCCTACATAACATTATAACATATTGAAATCTGAAGCATCTAATCCTGAAAGAAAACAAAGAGAAAATTAATGTAGCCCTATATCATTATTTTGAAGATGAGAAAATTCATGTCTAAGGAGACTAACTGTTCTGCTCAAGATCATCTGGGTGCTAGGAGCAAAAGAAAAGATACTAGACCACCCAGTCTGCTTATTCTTTCCAAATGCTAGTTGTGTTTCTTTGAAAAGAAAAATTGATCTAATTTTAGCTAAAAATCATCCAGAAGTGACGTATGATGCTTTGTCAGTTAGAATTAAGAAACTTGCCAAGCACGAAGGATAAAAATGTGTGCATTTTTATATATAATGCATGGTGCGCATTATACTGAATGCTTATTAAGAATTCTTTCACGTGTTTTTTTTTTTTTTCAAGTAATCGTTTTCATTCAAAGCAGCAGGAAGCAAAAACACAGAGATATTATAGATTTACAAATTTAAACAAAAGAGGATATTACCTGAAGTATTTCTGGTTATCTTGAGTGATAAAAGTATTTCTTCAAACAATTCTTGAACACCTTTTTCCAGTTTCATAAAGGATTTTATGAGCTGCGATAAGAATTCGACTTTGTCTAAAGGGAGAGAGAAGTTTCTTCCTTTCTGTGGGCATTCAGGAGTAACTGTGAAAAGATAAGACCAAGACTGTCATACCTTTTATTTACCTTAGTAAATATTAGAACGATCTGTGTGATTCCATAAACCATCTAAAAACTAACAAGTTCCTCCATAATTAAACCAAGTTAGTTCATTAAGAAATACATATAAAATCTCCTAAGAGTGTCTTTTCTTCTGGGAAGCTGGAGATGAATATTCTGTTTGAGGCAAATATAGCAATTAAATAATTAGATTGATTCTCAGAGTTATAAATAGAAATTTGATTTCTTGTAAAATCACATCTTATGCAATTCTGTTTTTTTTTTTTTTTTTTTAGTCTGGCATATAACTTAAACCTAATGACAAGGAAATATTACACAAACCCAAATTGAGGGACAGTCTACAAAATAACTGGTCTGCACTTTTCAAAAGTGCCATGTGAGGAAGTACAAAAGCCAGGAAATGACTTAGTCTAAAGGAGTCTAAATAGACATTAAGTAAAACTGAAATTAATACATAATCAGCATTTTTGGATATAAAAGACATTCGTGGGATAATTTGGTGAAATCTGACTGAAGTCTACTATCCAATACTATTACTATATGACTTAAACTTCCCAATTTATATACCTGTATTGTGGTTTTGCAAGAGAATGTCTTTGTTTTTAGGAAATATACACTGAAATACATAAGAGTGTCTGCAGACTATTTTCAGTTTAAGAAAAAATAAAATTTTTCAAAGAAGGAGAGAGAGAAAGCAAAAGTCAAAATGTGGTCAGATATTAACATTTGGGAAATATGAATGTAAAGGAATTCTTTGTATTATCCTGGCAACCTTTTTGTAAGTCTGAAATTAAAATAAACATTTTACAAAACACTGTATTAAAGATACACTCTTTAAGACCTTATAAGTGTTGCTCCTATCATTAAAAAAAAGCAGATTAAGTTAGCTATTGAATCTAGACTACTTAATTCACAAAGTCATGTTTAAAAATAACTTCTGTCTAAATAATTGTGATATCTATTATTTGCATAAGAATAATACAACTTAAAGGATTTTTTTTTTGCCCTCTTATAATTATGCTACTAGTAAAGTCATACAATCATTTTAACATGATAGTTAAATCCCTTTATACTCTTTAAGAGTATGGAGAATAATTCACTTATTTCATGTTCGTAACTCCAATTTGTTGCTTTCATTTTAGATTACATCACTAAAAGGTCTTTTTGACCAAGTTTTAAAGGATTTAAAAGAATCCTTTCTTTATTAATGCCTTTTCTTACAACATATTTAAGAAATAGCTTGAAGCTTAATTATAAATTGGAAAATTTGTAAACCTACAAACTTAGCACAAAATGCCTTCGGAGACAGAATACAAGTGCTATTCAAAAACTGTATAGGGTCTGGCAATTCCATGGGAAAAAAAGATTACCTTCATCACATGGATGTAGAAGGAAGATTCCAGAACTCTAATAATTTTATGGCTAATTCACTTCACTTCAGTGAAACTTTAAAATGTTAGCATCAAACTTGTAGTCCTATAACAGTCTTTCACTGAGGACCAAAAATGTCACGGTCTCTTTGCCAGTAATATGAGAAAGAGCTGTCTACCAACTTAGACTGTACAATTTAGTACTGTTCTGAAACAGTAAAAAGGTTTTAAAAAATCTGCAAGTAAATACAAAAACTCTGTTTCATCTCTAAGTTGACATTAGCCCACTATACATGAAAATCTAACTCACATCTACTGTTCTTCTATAGGCATACTAGAGAATACAAGTATGTACAGGCAGAATATACAACTAAGGCTTTGCCAGAAATATTATGCCCCCAGATGAAAAGAGAATAAATATATTATGCTTTATTTAGTTGGTACCATTTGGTCTATTTGACTTATCTTAAGCTTTTCTCATGTAGATGAGTGGATAGTTTAACCTTCTAAACCTTAAATTTCCTTTTGGACCTAAAATGTTTATAAACTAAATTTTCAAAGGCTTTAAGAATCCTTCCTAATTCTTTATTAGGAAAGGCCGCTCAATAGCTTCACTAGAAATTAAGCATATTTAAGAAGACTTTATCTGGCTCAATTCCAAATTGGAAGTCTTGTGAATGTTTATAAAGTAAGCAAAGAAGTACCCGAAGAAGAATCTTTAAGAGTCAAAATTATGTAAGAGTGCTTGCTACTTGCTGACAATTATGCAAGGTCTGAGGATTCTACATGAAGAGGTCTTACTTTCATGACCTGGATTTAGAAGAATCTTGTATTCCAGGAATATAACAATAGTGAAAGGTAAATCTTCTTTCAATTCAGTGAATCTTTATAACTAAATAATGTAAGAGGACAGAATAAAATAGATGACCTAAATCTAATCTTTTTTTGTCCCAAAGAACCAATGATTATGGTAGCGATCCATTAATTAGTAGCCCTTATTTCCTATTACTATCAGCTCAGTGTTCTCCCAAGGGGTATTGTACGGGTTCTTAATTTATGGGGAAAATAATTCTGTGATAAATTCATTTTGTGAAAGGCCAATTAAAGCAAAATTAAACACAAAGGACGAAGTAGCATTTCCCAAACTTATTTGACTTATTTTACCTCACAGTATCTCATAGGACTAGTGTCCTAATCATCACACCTTAACTCATGATTTCTATCTACCTAAGCACATGTTTCTCTGTCCCTTAAACTCTTCGTTGTTAACAAAATCAGGAAAGAGTTTCTCCCAGCAGAAATTCCTTTGACTTTCTCCTTTGCTAAATTAACCTCCTTTCCGCACTTTTCAATATTGTTTGTTCCTTCCCTCTAAGTCACCTCTCCAGAAAACGTTATCTGCCAGGCTGGGCAATCCTCATCTCTACAAAAAATACCAAAACAAACAAACAAACAAAAATTAGCTGGGCGTAGTGGCGCAAGCCTGTATAGTTCCAGCTACTCAGGAAGCTGAGGTGGGAGGATCACCTGAACCCGGAAGTGGAGCTGCAGAGAGCCGAGATTGCGCCACTGCACTGCAACCCAGGCCACAGAGTGGGACCCTGTCTCCAACAAAAAAAGAAAAGAAAAAAAAGGGGCTCCATCTCGGCTCACTGGAACTTCTGCCTCCCGGGTTCAAACGATTCTCCGGCCTCAGCCTTCTGAGGAGCTGGAATTACAGACGCCCGCCACCATGCCCGGCTAATTTTTGTGTTTATAGTAGCGACGGGATTTCACCATGTTGCCCAGGCTGGCCCTCCTCGGCCTCCCAGAGTGCTGGGATTACAGGCGTGAGCCACCGCGCCCTTCTGAAAACTTTTATTTGGATACAATCAATCTAGGAGTTCTCCTTCCCCCACTAAGTCAACCTGGCCTTTATTTATTTATTTAAATCACTATGGAACTGTCGTGCTTCAAAGTTTTGGACATACATGTTTATACACAGGCAACTCTGTCTGGCATGCTGCCAAGCATTGCTGTAAAATATCTGACGTAATAACTATTGTTTGGCTGTAAGATGAGCTCTATGATTCTTAGGAAATAGGCATTTCTCCTAAATCCCCAAAATATTATAAAGATAAAATTAAATTTTCATTTTAGAGAAAGTCCTTACTTAATTTACCATCAACTAGATGAGTAAGTCCACATAAATAATAAGTAGATAGTTGAGAGTTTTTTCTTTATAGATAATTTTAATAAGAATTTTTCTAAAATGCAGTATAAAATATTCTGCTTTATTATTTACTGTATTTAAAACAATATAAATTTTTCTTCATGATACAGTTATAATGAGTTATTTATTTCTATGCTACACTCAGGGACTATTGTTTGTCCCTCTGTTAAAGGGTATTTCTGAAATTGCTTTCATTTTAGATTATATGAAAAGGGTTCTATAACCAAAAAAACTTGGGAAATACTACATACTAAATTCTTCTTAAAGTAATTCACAAAGCTAAATAGCATATTAAAGTATCTATTTACTTCCATAATAAAGTAATAACTTTCTAAACTTAGTGTTTCTCAAACCTTTTTGACCAATGAACACCAGTTTATCAACACATATCTGCTCACTTCTGAGATATTCTCAAAAACAGCTGTGTGGGGGACACTGCTCTGGATTCCTCTACAACTTGAGTATTTGTATCTGCTTTATAGATTTTCCTTTCATTGTTAGACCTTTTGCTGTGGGTTCTTGTTGCTGGTTGTGTGGATGATTTTACCAGTACCCTCTTCCACTTGTAAACCACTGCTTCTAGCATTATCATGGTATTTTTGCAGACCCCTTTAAGAAACTAAGGAAAGTCTTCTAAAGATTCCTAGACCTTCTCATTGAATACAATTCATATAGTCACAGTGTGAAGGCTAAACAGAACCACCTGAAGTCCATCTTTGGCTCTCACAGGGCAGTACAGTTTAGGATCTTCTGTAGCATTAAAAATGCAAATTTCTGGATCTTCTCCAGAATTAATGAATCAGTATCTCTATGGGACGAAGCCCAGAAATATTACTTTTGAGCAAGTGTCCCAAGTGAGCTTTTTGCACACTAGAGTTTGAGACTCCTGTCTGAGGGGTTCATGAGCTTTAGATAAAAACCCTTGTGGTTGGGAGGCTAAGGCGGGTGGATCATGAGGTCAGGACATTGAGACCATCCTGGTTAACACGGTGAAACCCTGTCTCTACCAAAAATACAAAAAATTAGCTGATGAGGTGGCGGACGCCTGTAGTCCCAGCTACTTGGGAGGTTGAGGCAGGAGAATGGTGTGAACCCAGGAGGCGGAGTTGGCAGTGAGTCAAGATAACACTACTGCACTCCATCCAGCCTGGGCAACAGAGTGAGACTCTGTCTCAAAAAACAAAACAAAACAAAACAAAACAAAAAAAATCCTTGTGGTTAAAAATCACTCTCTAAGCACCAAAAAAAAACTAGATTTGGGTCTCAGAAGTCAACCAAAAAGTTGCTATTGCATAAAACACCGGTGACAAAAAAAAAACAAAAAAAACAAAAAAAACCCTCCACTTTTTTGACTAGGCATGGTGGTTCACGCCTGTAATCCC